TGTCTCAAAAAAAAAAAGAGAACCTCAACCAGGGGTTACACACGAAGGCCGTGTCCTCCATCTGATTCTGTATGAAGCTTTAGTAAAGCATAACAATTCCTACTCAATACTACTGCTTATGGGTCCTTTCACTCTACAAAGGCAGAGTTGAGGAGTTGAGCAGCTAGAGAGACCATATGGCCTACAAAGATAGCTGACCCTTCACAGAAAAAGTACCCTGACCCTGAACTTGGATAGCAGTATGTGGTCAGCGAATGTTAGACATCAACGGTAGATTTACGTGTGGACCAATTCCCAATCTGCCAAACTATAACAATCTTGCTTGCACATGGTACTTTCCAGATATAAAATAAGATAAAGAGATATACAACCACTAAATGCAGTGGTACCAATCCCTCTAAGGGTATTATCTAGTTATTGAGATACACTAATGGTCACATATATAATATTATAGAAAGAGACACTGTATTTCTCAAAGTAACTGATTCACCTTTAATTTTTAAAAAAGTATCCATTTCAGGCTCGGTGCCTGTAGCTCAACAGCTAGGGCACTGGCCACATACACCAGGGCTAGGAGTTCAAACCCAGCCTGGGCCTGCCAAACAACGACAACTACAACCAAAAATAGCTGGGCATGGTGGCAGGCACCTGTAGTCCTAGCTACTTGAGAGGCTGAGGCAAGAGAATAGCTTAAGCCCAAAAAGTCTGAGGTTGCTGTGAGCTGTGATGCTACAGCACTCTATAGAGGGCGACATAGTGAGACTCTGTCTCAAAAAAAAAAGTATCCATTTCATACTGTACATTTAGAGGTATTTTGGGGATTTGGGTGTGGTAGTGTTGGGAGGGGTAGTCCATAAAAAACTAGTAAAAAGTGATAGAGTACTATAATTCCAAAAAAGCAGAGAGTTAGTGTGATAAACTTAAAATTCCAAATATCAGTAACAAAATATACTTGTAAGAAGTTAAATTGAATAAAAATATTGAATTAATGGGCAAATGTCATAATTTAGTGATGTATTTGTATCCTCATAAACTAGTTTCATAATTAAGAAGAGTTATTTAAGAAGAGTTAATTAAGAAGTTTATCAGCCTATCTGCCCAAACATTATCCATAGGCTAATAAAAATAACACATTTATAATTGGGTAGAAATGGGAAGACAGGTTTCTCTCAATGATTATAATAACCTTGGACAATCTCCATTTGAAAATGGGGAAGAAGGCTGGGTGCCGTGGCTCATACCTCTAATCCTAGCACTCTGGGAGGCAAGTTCAAGTTAGAGACCAGCCTAAGCAAGAGCGAGACCTCATCTCTAAAAATAGCTGAGTGTTGTGGCAGGTGCCTGAAGTCCCAGCTACTTGGGAGACTAAGGCAAGAGGACTGCATGAGCTTAAGAGTTTGAGGTTGCTGTAAGCAATGATTCTACACCACTCTACCCAAGGTGACAGAGTGAGACTCTATCTAAAAAAATAAAAAAAGGCTGGGTACAGTAGCTCATGCCTGTAACTCTGGCACTATGGGAAACCAAGGCAGGCAGACTGCTTAAGCTCAAGAGTTCAAGACCAGCCTGAGCAAAGCAAGACCCCATCTCTATAAATATAAAAATTAGTTGGGTGTTACTGCAGCTGCCTATCATCCCAACTGCTTGGAAAGCTGAGACAGGAGGATGACTTGAGCCCAAGAGTTTGAGGTTACTATGAACTACAAAACCATGGCACTCAACCCCAGGGTGACAGGGTGAGATTCTGTCTCAAAAAAAAAAAAAAAAAAAATGTAGTAGTTTACAAAACCCAATAAAAAACAAAATAGAGCTGAATAAGAAGAAAAAAAGAATATATACAGCTAAAATTTCCATTAACAATATGCTATAGGAAGGTACCATATTTAATTGGCAGCATGTATAACTAAATTCCAATATAGATAAAAGCACTAGTATGATTTATTACTTTTATTCCAGTAATATTTTATATTGATATTTCCTAATACCATAAAAAATTATGATAAACTTCTGCCACATTCTAAGCAGCATCCTGCAGAAACCCACTCAGATCCCCGCACTCTAACCACCTCACCGTGAAGCACGGCGTACTCACCTTGTTCTTCACTTCCTTCCTTACAAAGACTGGAGCTCTGGCCCAGACTCAAACTGATATCATCAGAAGTCTTAGCAGTGTCTGTATCTCCTACAAAGTTAAGAGAAATGTCTGATGCCATTATATTAAAAGTAAAGGCTGTAGTGTGGCATAACCACAGCAGGTCATCAAGGCACATGGTAAGTATCTATCAACTAAAGCAGTTTTGTACATCAAGGATTACAGTAACAGAAGATGCGCTGAACTAACAGGAAGAGTGTCGTGGACCATCAGAGCACATAATTACTCTCACGAAACTACAACCATACACTAGGAAAGCTGTATAATATACACTAACAAAACTATTTCTTTAAAACTTAGATTTTAAAAAGAAATGCAAATTATGTAATGATTGAAACAATGTAAATTTCATTCCCAGGGAAAATTAGCAAGCTAAAAGACTACAGGGTAAAAATTATAAGAATGCATTTGAAATAGATAGACAAATGAAGACAATAACTCTTCCCTTTTTTAGTGTCTCGTTTGTGCCCACATTTAAAGCTTTCACATCAGATTCCTTAATTTTCCTTGTACCCTACCAACATTCATGCAATTGTTTTCCTTCAAGGCAAGGAAATTTCTTATAGATCAAAACTTATGAGTTGATGCAACATAATGTAAATAGTCAAATATGTCTAAGAAATTGGATGACGAAAGAAGAATACAACTTAAATCAAGCAATCTTTTATAGGATCTATAATCTTCTCTATAAAATAATTTCAAGAATAATTTTTTCAATATATTTAAGGGTACAGTACTGTCATCTTTATTGCAACCAAAAATGAAACGGAAAGTCAGAGGCGACTTGTAAATTATATCATGTCTACCTTTAATAGTTGCTGCTGTTCCAAGACGAGAGGAACCAGATCCAATCTGAAAACATGACATGAAGTAAAGAAAATTAATTAAAATGCTAAGCATACGTCATCATCGATGTAATCATCATATCAAAACATGCTATGCGTCCCTTTCATCAGTACTGACAGACACCGCCCATGCTGCGTCTCTCTCTCAGATGTGAGCAGCTGAGATGTGGAACCTCTGCACGCTCGGGAATGTAGAAGCCCCAAGGGCCAGATGCCTCCAACCTCAAGCAACTCATGTCAGACAATTATTCTCGTTTTTTTACATTGCATCATGACATGTTCATGCTATAAACAAAAGCAAACCAAGCGCTGTGTCTAACTGAGATAAATATGCACTTGTTAGAGAACATATAAAGTGACGGTTGGGGGATAAAGCATTAACTACCATAGGCTAAAGGAACATATCAAATTGTCAGTGTATCATTATATACTTTCCTTAATTCCAAGCAAAGAGTAAAAATACTTCTTTGTAGGCAGAACATTTTTAAAAGAATAAAAATCTAAAGCACCCACAAAAAAAAAATGATTATTTTAGCACAAACAACAGATTGCTGAGCTTTTAGTGCTTATATTCAAGATGGTATAATACCTAAAATTTCAGAGCTATTATTTATTATATTACCATAAAAATCACATAAACAAATACCACAAATTCCAGGAACACGTTCAGGAAACCAAATGTAACAACATGACAGTTACTAAAGCAATTAAGTGTTAGCAACTCTTCCTATAATTGTTTTCATAGGATTCAAAGAAAACAGTCAAGTAAGTTTACCCTTGTAAAATAAAATAAAGAACATCCACATAATACTTCACATTTTACCAAATCTTCTTTTCATTGGTTCAATTTAAGTCGGAGTACAAAATAAGCTCAAAATATGTATTATTGTTGACTTTGAAGGGCCATGAGGGACTTTCTTGCTCTAGATGGCAAATGAGTGAATGTCAAAGGTGTAAAAATTCCTTGAGGCCATCCACTGAAGATGTGTACCATGCTATGTAAGTTATATGGCAGTGAAAAAAGCAAGTACACAGATACAGATTGAAGCTACCATAATCTCTTGATATTGGCATAAAAAAATAAGATTTGTATTTTTTTGCACTATATATTAAGCTTGATTCTCCTAGCTTTTCCTAATTTCTGTTTTCTGTTTTAGTCATAAAAGGCACTGCAATCAGCCAGAATGAAAAAGGCCAAAATGCATTTTACTGGGAAAAGTTTCATTCTTCCCACACCTGCTATATGAGTTACAGAACTAACACATTATTTTTCTAGGAACACATAACTTCCTAGATAGAAATTTTTAAAACAAACAAGCAAATGAAAAACACCATTTTATGGATACCCTTCTAAGAATGTAAACTTTTTTATTTTTATTTTGCCACTCTGTTGCCCTGGGCTAGAGTGGCATGGCATGAGCCTAGCCACAGCTCACTGCAACCTCAAACTCCTGGGCACACGTGATCCTCCTGCTTCAGACTCCACGTAGCTGGGACTACATACAGGTGCCCGTGCCCAGTTAATTTGTCTATTTTTTGTAGAGATGGGGTCTTGCTTTTGCAAAGCCTGGTCTTAAACTCTTGGGCTCAAGGGATCCTCTCCCTCTAGCCTCCCAGAGTGCTAGGATTATAGGTGTGAGCTACCCACCATGCTTGGCCTAAGAATATAAACTTTATATATATACATATACATATACACACTTTTTTTTTTAAATATGGGCATAGCAGTCACTTGCCCACAACCCCAAAGTGTTCTCTTTCTCCTTCCTTACTAAACTCCCTATTTTGTTCAAACATTTGTCTACAGGAAGGAGACCCAGCCTCATCTCTGACCTAGTTCTGGTCAATGAATGTTTGGGAGCGTATGCTGGATGGCTCCAGGAAAAGATCTTTTCATGTTTGAAAAGAAGGTGACTGAGGAGAATCTCCCTGCCCCACACTGTTGTCTGCCTCCTAACTTTTCAACGGGTCATGACTGAAGCTGCTACACCCATCCTGTAATCAAGGAAAAAGCCTAGAGAACTATGGAAATGCTAAACCAGAACCCCAACATTTCTGAGCTGCTGAACTATCACTTCCAGGTGACAAACAAACTCCTATTTTTTAAGTCATTATTAGTTGACTATTCTATTGCTTACTGACAAAAGCACTCTTTATGGGTACAATGGGGTGATTAAATTTTACTCTTCATGCTTTTCTGTATTATTTAACCTTCACCACTCCAAAAAAACCTAAGAATCATGACTATATTTGCATGTGACACAACAGAGAATCAGGATATAAGTTATAATATATCCAAATGCAATGTATTCTTCAGAGTTTTCCTATAGAAAAATACTTAATGACGTTAACATTCATGCTACATTCAACGAAGAGAACAGAGTTCCAAAGGACACATGCACTGTACTTCTATTTTGTTTAGAAAAGTTTTGATTATATTATAGATGATTTTAATTTTCTTCTTTTTGTTTACCATTATTTGTTAAATTTTCTAAAACTGAAAAGAAGGGCTGAGTGCAGTGGCTCACACCTATAATCCTAGCACGCTGGCATTCTAAGACAATTATTACTGTGCATCTTGGGCTTATATTTCCTTAGTAATACACATATATCACATCTATAACTTTGGTTACTTATATCTAGTCTGAAATCACAATCTCTTTGGGGTAAAACCCACTTCCCAGCCTAGATTAAGGAAAATGCCTTGAATACTTCCGGCACTAAAATATTTGAAGGCAGACAAGTAACAAAAGGGGAGAGAAGAAGATAAAGGGGAAAGGGAGGAAAGCAAGGAAAGGGAAATGCAGAGCAAAAGACAGAAGGGAAAGAAGGAAAGTGTCTAGAAGGAAAGAATGGTAACGTGTCTGCGGTCCACCACTGTGGCCTGTGAGTCCATCGCTGGACACAGAACCATTTACACAGACAATTACGATGAGGTGCTAATAACAGTGTGTCCAGTCTGCACTGGTAATCTCTCCACTGACATACAAAAAGCCTGACCTGACTTCTTCATTTTAGCACTTTAGCTTCTCTAAAGGGCAACAATAATTATGCCAACCATTTCTTTTGCTGTAAACAGTATCAAACAAAGACACTGAAATCCAAGTAGTACAACCTACAATACGGGTCAACTTTTATTTTACTATTTTAAGTAAAAAGTTTCTATTTTAAGGAAAAGGTATTCTGTGTGCACATAGGCTTTAATTACATTTAAGAAACAGGGCAAATTCCAACACACGATGCCAACAGCAGAGTATCCAGAGGTGGTTGGCCAGTGCTGTAATCTTTTCACCTGTCCTACTGTAAAATTCAGAAAATGGTTATTAGAAAAATGTTGCCTTACTCCTTGAGGTAATCTGACATAGCCTACATCTGTCAGCAAGATGAAAGCTAAAACACACAGCCACATTCAAGGATTGAGTCATTTCATTCTATAAAAAGACACTGAAAATAGCACAAAGCCAGCATAAAAAAGGATCAAGGATAGTAACACTGTTCACCAAACAGGCATTATAAAATTTGAAATTTAAAAAGTATTAATCTCATTAGTGTGTCACATCCTTATTCACAGTATTTTTTTTCCTTTAAAATTCTGATGCCTCTGGCACCATAGCTCAGTAGTTAGCACACTGGCCCCTCACGCACACCAGGGGCAGTTGAGTTCAAACCTCCCCCTGGGTTTAACAAACAAACAAAAAAAAAAATACTGACACCTTCCATTTCATCAGCTTGTTATGGAAGATGAATTTAAGGACCCACTTGTTCTATATGAAATCCTAACTGAAATTGTTATCATAAATTCTTTCACATCACTTTTATATCATGAAAACGCAATTCAAATAGAGGCAAATGTTCTATCAAAATATATTAGGAAATAAGACCTTGTTCAAGATTTTGATTCATGGAATATGGTGATTTACATACTATTGTTCCTAGATCACATAGGGCTACTGTGAAAGAGCAGAACACTACAGGATAGAGTCAGCAGAATATTGTGTATGCTACTTACTCACTTGTTAAATGAGAAGTCAGGTCTGACTCTACCTGAAGAGTCTATTACCTATACACATTCTGAAGTTCTATTACCTATATACGTTCATGTAATCAGTAATCATTAACTCAAAGTCAACTATACATAAGGCAGCATATTAGACTATGGAAAAAAAGAAGAAAATCTACTCTGTAACTGTGTAGAAGCTTACAAACTACACACACCACACACCAAAAACTAAGCACTAAAACAAATTCCATAAACACGTGTTCCATCTGCCAGAGAAAGGGTCCACACCATAAGATCATTGACAAAATCTTGAGAAATGGGGGACAGTTACAAGAAGAGTCAGAGTTAGGTCAGAAAATAAAGAGGATTAAGTCTCCCTCTAGAAGAGAAAGGAAATTTTAATCCACAAGCCATGCAGTATAATAACAGGAAGGCTGAAGAGAGAACAAGGCCTAGTATCAGACTTTGATATACATCAGCTACTTCTACGTAATGAGAGGGCTAACACAATGACTGCTAAACCCCATAAAGTCACAAGGGAAGACCTTTCAAGTTTCTCACAGAGTTTACTATCTTATGCTCCTGTAATAGAACTGTCCCTAGTAAAGCCATCTGCTGAGAAGGCAAGCAGGAATAACTGAACTTTGATTCCTGTAGACGCTCAGGGTGAAGAAGATTGCTGTAGCAGCAGAGGCCCAGCCAAGGTTAGATAGAACCGAATACAACAGGCTTCAGCCAAGTTCTGAGATAATTCTTTCAGAATTACTATTTTAAGTTAAAAATAGAAGTTACAAAGCAGAAAGACATTAAAATTGGCAGAAGTAGACTTGTATCCTACTTTTAGCTCTGTCATCACATTGTGAACACTGTGAGATTTGGAACAAGTTATTTTATTTCTTTGCTGTTTGAACTAGAGATAACCATAGGCGTCTAGACCTCTCTGTACAGATGATGTGAAGTTAAAGAAGATGCTGCAAGCTGGAAGCTAAATCTGCTAAGGGCATTCACAACTGTCTTGATCAAAACTATACTGAAAAGGAGCACGTGGTACATACTCTACGAACATGTAATTGATTAACGTGAAAAGTCAGTTTAAAAACAATGTTAATGAAAGATGGTGTTGATAAAGAATAAAATAATAATAATCAAAAAGATAAACCAAAACATCAATTGACATAAGAACAACTGAGACCACCCTCAGGAGGACCGGAAAGAGGCATAGGAAAAGAGCTCAGGTTCTTACCTGGTTGCTCGGATCTAGACCCGCATAAGAATTTCGTGAACTACAACCAACTGGGGGGGTGGCCTCGCGAATGAACTCAGACATTTCAATCCCTCCACCAGGATCGCTGTGGGGAAAAGTGAGAAGGAGACAATAACTGTCATTGTTCTGACACCAATGTTTTTCTTTTTATTTTATAGTTATTTTATATTTATTTACATTACTATGCTTTTTTTCCTATAAAACCGAAAGGTTCTGATTCTCAATGGAGCAAGAAGCCAAAAAAAGAATTATCATGCTCCATTTATGAGTTTCAGAACTGAAACTATAAACACATCAGTACGTGAAAATATTTAAAAACAAATCTCAAACTGACTATATCCAATTCAACATTAGAAACTGGTCTTAATTAGAATTATAGCATACTAAGTATATGTGCCCTTAAAAGCACTCTTGCAAAGAAATGTTTGTTTTTTTCTTTCCCAAGAGCAAAGGGAAGTTAGTCAATTGTAAATACAGGAAGTAATCAGATACTGTATTAACTGATCTCTCCGAGAAAGAAGTCGGCCTGAGCTACACAACACAACCATGAACATACAAGACAATAGTTACTCTGGTTAAGCTAATTGTGTCTTTATTATTTAAGGTAATAGAATGTTACTAGGATACTAACTTGTTTTTCAGAATCTGAAACCTAAAATTTTAGATTTGGTTAGAAGGTGTAAATAAAAAAAGTAAAATGATGCTACATAGTAATAATCTAGAAAGACAAAAGAAAGAAGAGTATTGGGTTCAAAGAGTTGGGGAAGCTGGTAAATAGTACTTAAAGATATGGGAACCCAAAATTAGAGAAAAGAGAATCACGCCAAATTCCAAAAAAGATAGGGAATGCCATGTAAGTTTCCTTAGGAAAACAACTTTTAGAATAACCCATAATCCTATTTTTGCCCAAAGTTTCTACTCATTCTACGGGTATAAATAGTAAGTACTCAATAAAATTTTTAACTTTCATTTTCAGAATAAAAGTTCTAGTGTATATTCTGGACATTATAATGGATATAAACCATCTAGCCATCCAGCATCCAATTTAACCTCCTGGTTAACAAAAAAAGCAACCCAACACTCTTCTGACAAACCACCTGATCCCAAACTGTCCTAGCAGTTGGGGTAATATTGACCCCATCCTCAAGTTTAGGGGTAGACTTTACTGGCCAACGTCAATCAGCACATCCCATTCATCTGGCTACGGAGATTAGTTCTAGAATTAAGTACGTGACACAACTCAGGCTAGCATGAATCAAGCCAGGAGCATCCTATCGTTGAGAGAGGAAATTTCTCTATATCTGCTAGCCTTAAATCGTGACTTAAGCCTGGAGCTGCTACAGCCATCTTACAACTATAAGGGAGAGCTTGTCTAAGAAGCCAACTAATAGAGAAGAGCAAAGCCTGGCGAAAGGGAAGGAGGGGTGTAGAACAAATGTTTGAAAGTCTGCATCCCAGTACATCTGAGAACATCTCTCACATGCAGACTCCACAGTAATGTGTGCAGTAAATTCCCTTGAGTCTGTTTAGCTGGGGTATTCTGACCCCTGTAATCAGAAGATGTAAACAAAATATAATTTGCTTGCAAGAATATCTCTCATTTAAGTATTTATTATTATAGTAGTTTGAATTCTAGAATGTTTTTATTATTAATAGTCTCATAACTATACTGTCCCTGCTTACTTAATGGGTTCCTAACACTAGGCCATTGACTACAGTTAGCCTGCTAATGTCCATTAAGGAAAAATAGCTTTCAAACTTGCTATCCATTTGTAAAAATAAAACATATTGGGAGTCAATTACAAAGTTAATGGCCAATTCTGCACACAAATGCCCATATGTGAGAAATGTAGAATATGCTCCTGTTTTTGACTGTTTGGTGTTAACTCATCAAAGCTTTATAGGCCAGAATAAAATATTTTTCTAAACTGGAAAAATCTTTAATGTGTGTACAGAAGCAGCTATTCCCAAACTGCATTAGTGGGGAGTAAAACTCGCAGTATTACTAGTTATCTCCACTAGAATACATCCTCTAAATGAGATCCACAGAAATCAAAGGGCAAAGTACAAATTAAGAAATAGAACACTAGAGAAATTAAAAAAA